ATTAAAAAGGGGCAAACAGTAGTTTTAATTTCCAAAGTTTTCAAGCATATTTTAAAAGAATTTGTGATATTTGATGTATTTGTATACAAATTCTAAAAATAACATTAGATGTGTTATCTAATTAGATAAAATTAGAATAAAATATGTGAATCTGCTTTTTGCTATTGTAAAGTATAGGGAAACTTTCATGAATTGATTTAAATAATAAAGAGTCTTCTGTTGTAACATAATCTTCCATGGACCAATATCACTAATAAATTAGGCTCTGCATCATAAAACTGTTTACTTTTATAAGTATTTAGTCAACTATTTTTTGTAATTATAGGAGCATTTGATAATTAATTTAATGTATCTGTATACAATGCATAGAACAGATATTTTCTATTTAAGATTTTAAAACTAAGATTTAAAAGTTGGGCTTTGATTGTCAATCACTTTCCCCCATTCACAGAATTTTATGAGGATTCCAGATTGTACTATTGTCTATTTATAATTCTCCTACTATTTCTCCCATTATTTTTTTCCCAGAGAAAATTCATTAAGGAAGAAAAAATGAAAGAGCTACAGTGTATCTTTTGATGTTAGCTTTTCAAGCATTCTGTCTGGAAATACTTTAACTGTAATCAGATTTACTATTTGTGAAATGAATAGTTATAATTATAGTACAAAACTCTAAAAAATATATGTTTATCTTCTCATCTAAGTATTAATTATTGTAATTTTGAATGTAAAATGTGGAATTGGTATAGGATATTTTACTGTTGATGCATTATTCCAGTCATGATTACTAAAAGGAGTAATTCCTTTTCTGCAAAATGCTGGAAATGCAATGAACAGATTAGATCCTTTTTCCTTATGTGGTGGCAATATTACAAAGCCCAACAATACTGGGAAAAAAAATCGTTGAAAAATACCAAACTAGTATTGTAAATGTAGCAGCTGCTAGGATCGTATTTGGTTTTTATTGGGAAAGAACTTTGATCCCCTCTATGGAAGAATGGCTAACCAAATTGTGGAAATATGCTTCGTTGTCTAGAAAAACTTCATATTTAAAAAGAAAAACTGGTGTACTATTAATCTTATTTACAAACCATTTCTAGATTACAGTTCTATACATGGAATTGTGCCACATCCAAAATTTGGGTTTTAGAGTTATATTTTAGTTTGACATATAATCTACATATTATTTATAGTATTCTTGTACTGTATTGTTTCTTATTTAGTTTTTTTCCTCTTATTTATTTCAATTGTGCTAACAAAATATTTTTAAGTTCTCTAGAGACATGTTTTGACTAGAAATTGGGCATGAAATGCCTTATATTTTAAGCTCTTAATTGTGCATTAGACTATATTTACTATATGATATCTTAGATCTGTTGGTTATTTGAGATTTGCTGGCTATCCACCCATATTTTATTGTTTATACTTGGTTCCTTTAAAAAAAATCTGTATCACGTATGCTTTATAGTCTTTTAAATGTATACTTGAAATAAATAAATAAAAAAAATGCAAAATGTGTTTTGTTTTCACACTTGTGCAAATATGATGTAAATTCCTATGGAATAATTTAAAACACAGTTTGTAACCAAATACTAATGGTTAAAGGAATCTCATCAGGAATCTTCAACCATTAAGCTCACTTTATTTCCATCTGCTTTTTTTCCAAGAAAAGCTTGAGGGTATCTCCTTTTGTTTTGGGCAGAGATTCTTATCTCCAGTGTGGAGGGAAAGAAAGTGGAAGGGAACTTGCCAACCACAATTTTTGGCTTGGAATGCTAAGTCAGACAAAACATGTAGATCTCCTGCTGTCAATGTATATAAGCAAACTCTTTTTTTAAGCGAGTGGACCCCTATACTAATTTCTGTTGATTAACCTGGTTTGACCGTGTGGATCTCCGTGGAGCGCCTTCTATGAACTTAATAACTATGAACTTTCCCATGTGATTTCCTTGTTTTATTTTTATAAATGAGTTGAAAAGTTGCCAAGATTGTTCTTTCCACCACCACCTGGAGGACCTGTACCCTATGACATCATTTTCTCACACACCAAGAAGAAAAAATACTAATTTTATAAATGGCCTTTAATTACACCTTCTACAAAATGATCAAACAGAACTCCCAAGGGCTTTATGCTAAGATATGAAATTCTTATATTTTCATAAGATAAAAAAGGAGTAAAAACCCTTAACTTGAAGGAAAGGCAAATGAGAGGGAAAAGGAGAGGGAAGGGGAACTTAATCTAATTAGCACTGTGCCCAAGCTGCTGAAAAAAAAAGATGGGTATACTTGTGCTTAAAGTATAAATAAATCTGCTATCCCAAATTCTGTGCTAAAAAAGCTGAATTTTGTGATTTATATAAAGCCAATTTACATATTATTATTTTGAATAATTTATTTGGATTCTCTTAATTACTGAAAGGAGTAAAGAGTTATGGGAGGCACAGAATTCTTCTCCATTCTTTAGGATATCTTAATCAGTCATTCTGCTGGCATCTGAGAATTCAACAGATATTGCCTATCTACTGTTATCTGTGGACTCCTAGCCTTTTTACTATGGCAAGAAGTTACTTCACTAACCATTTTTAAGATCATACTTCCTCACTCTCATTTCCAGCTCATCAAGAAGGCAGCCTAAAATTTCCATTGTGAAAGTGGTGTTTTCCCTCTTCACCAAATACAAACCTTGCTATATAAATTATCTATGATGCCTCAGTTAACTGGGCTCTTTATATCTACAAGTGTGAAAGAATGGTACGCCTCTTTGTAAGCATTTATTTAGCAGTTTTGTGAAAGCGAAGCACGCCTTTAAAAAAAAAAGTAGTAGCGTCCTGGTAGATTTAATCTAGAAAAGAGAACTCAGTTCTGTAAGCAGTTTCTTGCTGCTTCTCTCTCAAATGACTACATTACAGGTGCTTTTGCTACAAGTTTTCAGGTGCTTCTGCTAACAAGTGGCTTTATGTGACTACTTTCTACCTTTTTTTATTACTTCGAGGAAGCAGTGCCATTTTGCCTATCTGACTGCCAGTATAGTAATACAATTCCCACGCGGTGCTTATTGATTTGGGATGTATGGCAACAGGATGATATTGACAAGACTTATGCTTTTTTCCCCTTACCCTTGGGATTTTCCTAACCATCTACTGATCTCCTGGAAGACCAGCATTCCTGTATTAAAAAACTAAAAAATCTTGCTGATGGGCCAATAGGAATAGGAGAGCTGAAGAAGAAAGGAATTCTGTTGGTGAGCATGTATGCTGGCACTTGCTCCATTCCTCACCATACTCTGCCCCACTATCCCATCAGCCAGAACATTTCTGAACATGGCAGTGAAAATAATTAGGTGCAGATGGAGATTTCAAAGGATTTTCCACATTTAACAAAGCCACCATTACCACTACTATTTCAAATTTCTCTGTACATGCCTAGAGTCCCCCCAACATCAACCCATCATAGGTTTTCAAGAGTAATTGGTGGTTGTTTTTCTTGCTGGTAACTGGCACTGGTGAGATGGAGGAGGAAGCTAGGAATCCACCAACTGCTGATCTGAAACTGTCCCACATTAAATCTGTGCAGACTGGATCATTCTAAAACCTCAGCTGTGGAGGCAGCAAAATTATGCCGATATACTTTTCTGCCAACTCAAGGACAGGAGGAATGTGCATTAATACAACCATAAAGAAGTGCCCTTTGGCAGTCACAGAATCTATAAACACTTTTAAAAAAGAAAGCTGACATTCCCATGAAAAATAGTTTGCTGTCATTATCTGAATGAAAAGGCATGCAAAACTCATTTCATTTGAACAAAAATATTAACAAAATGTAATTTGCAGCACCACAGAGTACTGTTATTGGTTTGCTCTAAGGAACATTTGCTTTGTATTGTTCCTGCCTATTATCCATATTCAAGATTCACACATTTCTGATCCCTAAATTCATGCTGAAATCTCATTGTTATTATTGCTTTCACAGTGCTATTGCAACATGCTTTATATGTCTACTAACTCACTATGATGCATGGATAAATGTCAAGGGCCATATTTTCTAGAGTAATCTCTAGGAAATTTACCAATAACAAGTAAAGCTTAACAAATAATGGGTGGGGCCAGAACCAAAAAGCCTTTTGCTAATCCCTTTTTGCTCCTTTTCCAATACTTTCTCCCTTCCCTTCCCTTCCCTTCCCTTCCCTTCCCTTCCCTTCCCTTCCCTTCCCT